TATAAGCCCCGATTTCCTTAATTTTGGGCAATCGGCCGATACATACATGAGAAACCGATTTTACAGATTTTTTTTGTCGTTTTAACTAGGGATGCACGATATTATCGGCATGGTATCGTATCAGCCGAAATTAGCGTTAAAGTTCAATATCAGACATCGGCCATTCCATCAAAATAACTCACCGATATAAAAGACGCTGTTTTTGTATGACAACCCTGTGACAAGGATGCCTGCAGCGCCAGCACAACGTGATGATGTCACGAGCGCTACCTGATCGGATCACGGCGGAGAGGAAGAAGTCAAAATGGCGGCGGTGTGGAAGTTTTTTCGTTGAGGATGTCGGATTCCAAAGATTTTTGGACTACATTGAGCATCATTACATCCTCCCCAGTCAGATATATTTTTCCGACGTAACCTTACCCGAGTTACAAGCTGTCATTTCTGACGTCATTGAAAAGCTAATAACCAATTTCACTTGGATGAGTTTTACCACAGATATCAAGTGTTAGCCCCGTTAGCATGATTAGTCTTACGGCACAATGGATAGACAAAAACTTTGAACTTGAAAAGTCTGTCCTTCATGCACAAGAGTGCAGATGATCCAACACAGCTAGGAACTGGAACAAGCCTCCACAAGTGAGAAAAATTACAGGTGACTAATGCTAATAAATAACATTTAACACTTTTCATTTAATATAAGTCAAAGTGTTATGTATATCATATGGCTGTTACTGAATATATATCACCAGCTCTTACAGCTTTTACACAGTTTTTGTAGCAAATAAGCCTAAATAAGAGGGCTATGTTCTGACAAAGGAAAGTATATAAAAATAATGATATCGGTTATCGGCCAAATAAGTTTTAACATATCGACATATCAGATATCGGCCAAAAATCCAATATCGTGCATCCCTAGTTTTAACAACAGTTGTCTAAATTTTATGTATATTTCAGAGCACTACCTCATGGCCAGTTAAAACAAATTTGTATTGTTTCTAGGATATTGTTCAAGGGTATGTTTTTCAATAAAATAAGATTGGAAAATTGAACTTATAACACCTGACAGTGTTGCTAATAAAACAATATCGGTATTGACCAAAATCGGAATCGGCAGGTCAGACATGTTAAAAATCGGTGGTCTTGGACACTCAGGTGAAGAGAGGAGCGGAGCTGTCCACTGATCACTACCTGGTGGTGAGTTGGCTTCGATGGTGGGGGAGGATGCCGGTCAGACCTGGCAGACCCAAACATATTGTAAGGGTTTGCTGGGAACGTCTGGCAGCGTATATGTTGTCATCATTTTATGTTCCCATATAAAGATGAAATTGGCTCTCTGCATTTAACCCATTGCACCTGGGATACACCCAGGTGAAGCAGCAGTGGGCAGCTATGTAAGCACCCGGGGAGCAATTATATATATATATATATATATATATTTATTTTTTTATTTTTTTTTTTTTCTTTGTTTTTTGTCTTTTTGTTTATATTTATTTATTTATTGTTTTTTCCATCCATTTCAGTTTGACGGAGGGCTTTACCGTCTTGCAGTTTCTAATCAGCTGAAAGGAGAACACTAGGCGGGGCACGTCACATTATCATCCCTCCTGCAAGACAAAGCCTCCTGGGTCGTAAAAAGGTTTTCTTATCGATCAAGCAGGCTTCGTTGCACACTCTGAAATTTTTTGATGAGTTAGCCGAGACATGTGGTGACGGCGAGCGCTTTGCTGAGTGCTTTAACTTTTAAGGACTGCTGCATTAGGATGCAATAAAAAGCAAAAGGACAGTGAGGAACCAACAACATGCCGCTTTGTGACATTATCACTCACTTGGCTTGAGTACGGAAGCATGAATAGGATGAAACCCAGACAGTAGAGATTGCTTCTTCTCCTTTTTCACTGACCAGTTTAAAGTGTGTCCTCGGTCGTTCTCAGAGAAATCTCTGGTCATCAGTTTGAGACTGCTGTCTCTTCAGAACAAATCCAAGGGATCCCTGTTTTTTTTTGTTGTCAGAGAACTTGGATTGAGTGGGATCAGACTGACACAGATCTTTTTTCACAACTTATAAGATACTCAAGCAAGCAAACAAGCAATGAACTGAAGGAGGTGTCTAAAAATACAAATAACATTTGGGCCTTTAATCAGGCAGAACCTTAAAAAACTGTTTGTCTTAAGTAAAACTACAAATACAATCATTGTTGGAGGGATTATTCACAAAGATTAATGCTAAACTTTCAACAAAATGTCAACAAATCACTTGCTCATTGGAGACAATTTTAACACATTTGCATCTTATTTTGAAAAGACCTAGGCCCTCTTATTCTTGAAAATATTTTTCAACCATTCTTCAAAGTCTAATTGTATCAATCACAACCTATTAAAATGATTTGGATACAATATTATAAACAGTTCCCTTTTGTTTTATAATCCTGCCAAATGAATATTAATATAGTGGCTTTTGGTTGCATAATTTTTAGCACTCTGAATTAGGAGATTAGATCATGCATTACATTTCCTTAAGACACCAAAACTCATCATATTTGATGTAGATTGAGGCCTAAAGTGCAGACAAGATGACAGAGGGAACACATGAGGACAAAACCTCAATCATAAAAATTAAAAACAGCTGGTGAAGCAAGAAAACAAGCGGAAAAGCTGAGATATCAATAAATTAAAATGTGTGGAAGGAGACGGAGCAGCAGAACCATCAAAACAGTTAACAGTTGATTTCATGAATGAGAACCTAATTAATACTTAAACAGAAATTGGTGATTAGTGGAATGAGAGGCAGGTGAGCTTGATGAGTGGATGAGGGGCAACTAATCACATAAAAATCCATCCATCCATTATCTTTACCCACTTCTTCCTTTTTGGGTCACAGGGGTCACTGGTGCCCATTTCCAGCAATCACTGGGCGAGGGGTGGGGACAGGTCGCAAGCCCATCACAGGGATACTCATGAAAATATTCCAGGAAAACAAGGAAAAGCTTGACTGAATAACTATAAGCACAAAAAAGGTAAACAAACCCCATGGTCATGACAAAACTACAGTGTAAAATTAAAAAATAACATTTCACAATAAAATATATTATTTTACAGTATTGAACACACCATCCATGTTTCCATGAATGTAAATGTGGTTACCTCAGTTGTGGAAAAAAAAAAGTTAGATTTATTGGAGCTATTATAGAGCTGTCATTTCTAATCCGAACCCAGAGCCTGGCCCCACCTGACCCGGATTAGGGCCAGGCCAGGCCATAATAATGTGATTAATATGCGGGCCGGGTCAGTGTCGGGCTTTTGATTGCATCAGTGGATGTGCATGGCTAATGATCCAAATATATGGCAACATGACTTGCCATACATTCACCAGCCACACGCAGCCATTTGACTGTGTGCTGACTGGCCTTGAAAGAGGTAAAAAGTTTAGTTAAGCTTTAGATGGACTACTGCCAGCAATTCCATCACCCAAATGAACGTTCATTCAGTCGCTGCACTCAGCAGACATGCGCGGCCGACGACCCAAACAGTTGAGATCGCAAAATATCCGATATGTCAGAGCAGGGTCCATGTCTGAATAATGCAGAATGCAAACAGAAGCAGCTCCGATCTGCTGCCCCTTTTACTCAGCCACGCGTCTGCCGACCGTTAATAACTATATGAACTATATAAGCAGTCAAAGCCCCAAAATGTGGGGGGGGGGGGGGGGGCGGGTTTGGACCTGTAATTACTGTTAATTTGTTGGGTCGGGTGGGGTTTGGAAATGATGGCTATGAGCTGGGGCCGAGTCGAGTCAGATTTTTTGGGTCCGAATGCAACTCGAAGCTAGTATTACCTGAGCCAGCCCAGTGGTCATTAAAGGAGTAGCAGTTTTAGGTAGTGTATTTCTGCTTTGGCCTGACTTTTCGGACCATATTGCTTCTTTTTTATTATGAAAAGCAGGTTAAAAAGACACAAACAGCTATAGAAAATATATTTTTGATCTTCAGGGTGTTAAGAGATTTTCCCTCACTGGCTTCTTGCAGACACTCATTCTGTGGCGGTAACATTATCTTGGCTTTGATGATTCCTTGATTAGAGGTTTTAAAGAAAATATGTTTAGAAAAGCTCAGGGGCCAAATGTGGCCCTCGTTGACATCTTATCTGGCCCCCAATATGTTATTTTAAATGTGAAATACTTTTATCACTTTAATATGTTTCAGTAATCTTTGATTATGATGTCAAAAGTGCAACAGAGAACATCAAATGACACCAATCAAACGCTTGTTGAGGAACCTGCAACCAAGAAAAGATGTTGGGTATCTGACTTGAGTTAATGTAGATTCTGAAATCGGCCCTTAGTTTGAAAAAGGTTTTAATTTTGGCCCTCTTTCGTTAGCGAGTTTGACACCCCTGATTTAGAAGGAAATGAAGAGTGATATCAAGGTTAATTTCATGAAGTTGATTTGTTCATCATTTGCTCCCACTGCCCCTGGTTCAACACACCAATGGAAGGATCATGGTCAATATCAAAGTCAATCACCAAAAATTCAGAATGATTGTGAGCCTTTTACACCTCACCATCTGTTTTATAAAATTATTTATTTATTGAGACAGCGCCACCTTGTAACCTAGAAACCTTGGCGACAAACTCAATGGCATTTTCAAAGAAAGATGGACCCAGGAGTTTCATCCTCAAACCATTTGGTGGATGGTGTTATAGCTTATCATTTCCAGAGATGTCATCCATCTTAGTGATGAAGAGCTTTCCTCGGCAGAAAACATTAACATTTACACGGTCGTACTGTAGCTGTCAGATCGTCTCTGTCTGATGAATTATGTGATGAAGGTCTTGGAGCTCAGCTCCTCAAAAGAAACATACAACAGACTTTTAACATTGAGGATGCAACGATTGAATTTTGTGGTCAGAGTGAACACAAATTTAAGGCTGTGCTCAAAATGGTAATTCATTTGCTCACCCACTACATTGTAGTCATTGCAGCCATTTTTTTCTTTGTGTTCAGGACAGAGAATCCTCCACCATAAGAGTAATGTCCTGGAGACGGTGGTGCTCATTAACCCTTCCGATGAAGCCGTCAGCACTGAGGTAATATCATCTGCTGTTCTTTTCTTGGCTTTTCAATTTGATTAAATTCAGTTTATGTACACTATGTAGCGCCAAGTCCCAACAGAAGTCGTCACTGGGCACTGTACGAAAACATTCAAGTAAAAAAGCTAATTAGTGGAAGTTATCTAAGGAAGTCAGCAGATTGTGTTGAGTATTCACTTCATCGCAGTCTCCCATCTTGAGCTAGCACAAAGGTAACTGTCGAAAGGAAAAACTCCTTTTAACAGGAAGAAACCTCCAGCAGAACCAGGCTCAGGAGCCAGTGAAGAGAAGCTAAAACTGGAGAAATATGATCTCTCCTACTAACTCCAGTTAAGACTGGCAGCAGCATTTTGGATTAACTGAAGACTTTTTAAAGAAGTATTCGGACACCCAGATAATAAATCATTGCAACAGTCCAGTCTAGACGTGACAAATGCACAAACCAGTTTTTCTGCGTCATTTTTAGATAAGATGTTTCAAACTTTAGTCATATGATGCAGGTGGAAGAAGGTGGTTTTAGTAATGTTTTTAATGTGGGGGTTGAAAGACATGTCCTGATCAAAAATATCACCAACTTTAGAACTGGAAGCCAAATTAAACCAGAGGAAGTGAAAGGCTGCAACATTTGTTCCTAAGATGCTCAGGTCCAAAAACCACATCTGTCTTGTTCACTTAACACACTCGTTCATATTTAATAGCTGTGAGCCTTCACATATCTATTAACACACTTAATACAAGAACATGTACATAAAATAATAACACTGATATTTAAAATTGGTATAAATTAATCATCCTATAGCTGCCAGAACAGTAAGTGCCATTTTTTTTTTTTTTTTACAGTTCGTTTAGAAGAAGGTACAAGGTTTATGAGCCGACATGATGTCTTGCTGTGTCACTGCTTCCTGACAGAGCTTTTTCCACTCTACCGTCCATGTCTGCAGTCAAATGTGCATGAATAATATCACAGCACAGCAGGACTGACTGGGCCAGTCGACCAGACCAGCTGAAGTAGAACAAAAGAGCAGCAGAGAAGAGACAGAAATACAGTAGATGGATGGAAGAAAACTCAGTGAAATGGACAATGAGAGAACAGTTAGCTACCTGGCTAAAGAATTTCAGTGACAAAAAACATTTTATTCTATCACAGAATCATAAAATGATTTGCTCTTTTGATTTCCAGGTCCGTTTAATGATCTCCGACACCGCCAGGCACAAACTTCTGGTCCTTTCAGGGCAGTGCTCGGAAAAAACTGGAGAGCTGATCCTTCAGTCTGGATCTTTTTCTTTCTGCAATTTCATAGACATATTCACTGATCAAGAGGTGAGCCAACATGCAAAAAAATAAAAAAATAAAATCCTCAATGTATTCATAGGCAAACTAGCTTTTTATGGTTTAATGTTCTGAGGATGTAATTTTACTTAGAGAAAACTTTTGAAAACTGTCAATTAAATACAGTATTTTTTAAACTGTGGAATTAATAATAATATTAAGATGTATCACAGATTATATATAAGCAAATTGTTCAGATCTTTGAAAGTGACATTCTGTGAAGTTGTTATCAGCAGTCAGTATCTTACCTGCAGCAGATGGAGATCAGCGTGACCTCAGTTTAGAAAGTCAGGCAGAACGTCTGACGAGTCAGTGAAACTAACCACTAGTGTGAGCAATGCCGGCTTTAAATCAAGTGTCTGCCCCAGTTTCAAATCATTTTATAGTGATTCATATGGACATACTTTTTTACGTCATGTCACAAATGAGAAACCTATTTACATTTAAGTTTATGAAGGTTTACACTCAAGACTATGTGTGTCTGCAGTCTGCTAATATTAATGGTTCATACAGTGTAACACATGAAAACTTTAATAAATTAAATGTATCTATACATAATAACTTTCTGATGGTAAAGTTACTTTATAAATCAAAAAAACAACATTGATTTAAATTGCTCTAAAGTTTGAGTTTATTTTCTTTTTATTGTTTACTGGTACTGGTAACTGACTGCAGACCAACATGGTCCTCTTTGTTAATAAGCATTGCAATGAAAAGAGAGGGTGTTGTTAAAAAAAAAAATACCGCGCTTATTTAAGTACATAAGGTAGTATGTTCTTTACAATACAAACTGAACTTTGTACTAAACTTTACATACTAAATTTTGTGGAATTAAATCATTAAGAACCCAAAAAATTATACCTTAAATATTCTATACAAAGACAAAAGACCATATTTAGAGGAAAAAATAATAAGAAATCGTATGTGTACTTTTTTTACAAGATGTAAAACATTCAGAATTACTTTTTTTAATTTATTTTGTGCACAGATTGGTGAATTGCTCAGCACCATTCATCCAGCAAACAAAGCCAACCTTACGCTCTCCTGTCCTGAGCAAGGAGACTGGAAAAACTCCAACTTGGACAAACACAACTTGCAAGACTTCATTAACATGAAGCTCAACTCCACTCTTATCCTTCCTGAAATGGAGGGCCTCTCTGAGTTCACAGAGTATTTATCTGAATCTGTAGAGATCCCATCTCCTTTTGACATGCTAGAACCTCCGACCTCAGGAGGGTTCCTCAAACTCTCCAAACCATGTTGTTACATTTTCCCTGGTGGCCGAGGTGACTCTGCTCTCTTTGCTGTGAATGGTTTCAACATGCTCGTTAATGGTGGTTCAGACAGGAAGTCATGCTTTTGGAAACTGGTGAGACACCTAGACCGAGTGGACTCCATCCTCCTGACCCACATTGGTGATGACAACCTACCAGGCATCAATAGCATGTTGCAGAGGAAGATTGCAGAGCTGGAGGAGGAGCAATCACAGGGTTCAACGGCTAACAGTGACTGGGTGAAGAACATGATTTCTCCAGATATCGGTGTTGTGTTTGTGAATTTTCCTGAAAGCCTGGAGAACCCTGAACCTAATTACAGGATGCGCAGAAATGTTGAGGAGGCAGCGTTCACTCAACAATTCCTGCACAAGCTAAATTTGAGGATTGAGCCTTTGCAGAAGCCTGTAGGAAACACGATAGAACCGATCACACTTTTTCAAAAAATGGGTGTCGGGAAGCTTGAAATGTATGTGCTTAACCCTTCGAAGAACAGCAAGGAGATGCAGCACTTTATGAAGCAGTGGACAGGAAGTGAAAAAGACACTACTTCCATTATGCTGCCGAATGGTAAAGAATCTGAGTTTCCTCTTTCTTACTTGAATTCTATCTCTTCGCTCATTGTGTGGCACCCTGCAAACCACTCAGATAAGATTGTGCGAGTTCTTTTTCCTGGAAATGCCACCCAGGTTCACATCTTTGAAGGATTAGAAAAACTAAAACATTTGGATTTTTTGAAGCAGGCAGTTGTCACTCAACAAGCCATGTCTTCTAGTTTGCCGTCAACACCAACACTTAAGCAAGCAAAGATGAAACACAGAACAGACAGCAAAGAGAGCCTCAAATCGACCCCAAAGCCATCACCAATCAAAACCATTAAAAAGACTTCAAAAGAGGAAACGTCAGACAAGGCAAAGACAGATGTCGAATCAGCTCAGGAGAAATCAGAAAAGATAGAGAAAAAAGAAAAGGTTCTCCTGAAAAAGGCAAAAGCGCCCGAGAGAGAATCCAAAGCTAGAACAGATCAAACCAGCCAAAACGAAACTCCAGACAAAAAGTCTGAGTCAAAACCCAAAAGTGAAAAGGTTAAAAGGGAAGCCAAAGCATTGGTGGAGAAGAAAAAGGAAGTTAAAAAAGAAGTAGCAAAAAATGACCTCTCCAAAAACGAAGGTCAAAAGGAAGAGAAAGTAAAGAAAGATGAAGCAAAAAAAGCTTTGAAAAAGGATATCAGAAGAGATTCACCTATGAAAGAGAAGAAGGAAGAAAAGAAGGAGCAAAGGAAAGATGTTAAAAGGCCCTCTAAGGACATTAAAAAGAACACCGCCGCAGGTGAAGAAAAAAATCTTAAACCAAAGCCACTGAAAAAAGACGACTCCTCGAAGAAAGATTCAGGAGTTCCATCGAAATTAAAAGATAAAGGAAAGTCAAAAGTGGCAAAGAAAGAGACAAAAGCAGATAGCAAACAGACAACTAGTGCTGTTACTGTTGCACAGGATCTAGAAGCAGAGAGATCTTTGATGTCCTCACCAGAGGACCTCACTACAGACTTTGAGCAGCTTAAAGCTGAAGAGTTGGTTGAGGGTGAGGCAAGTCCACAACTAAATGAGCAAAGAGAGGCATCAGTGATCCAGCATGAGGAAATAATACAGATTAGAGACTCACCGGAAGGTGTAGAGTCTGTGGATGAGGGTATAACAACAACAGAAGCAGAAGGAGACAATGAAGATACTCCAGAAGAACAAATAATTCAGGAAAAACTTAATGATAGCATTGGTGAGAAGTTTGAAGATGAGGGCACTGTGTTGGAAGAGACATCTGAGGGAGGGGATTATGAAGAGAAGGGAGAGACAGAGGAGGTCTATGAACCACAAAACGTGAAAGCAGACCAGGAGAGTGATCTTACTCACAGCACGAATGAGCACCAAGTCAACCAAGATGACATAAAACAAACCAATAATGTGAAACACGATGATGGAATGACAGATACAAAATTAGAAGAGGAGCTTGTAAGTCATAAAGAAATAGAAAAGCAGAATATTATAAAACCAACCTCACCTAAGGTGTCTTCACCAGTTTCTCCTGCTGCATCTATCCATGATGAGATGCCTCCAGCTGGCTTTGAGAGTTTCACAACCTCAGATGATGAGAATAGAGGTGAAGCCCCTGAGGAGTGCATAGTCACTTCTTGTCACTCCCATTCGACTTTTGAAATCTCTAATGTGCCTACTCCAGTGGATGAGATGTTGACTCCTAGGAACATTGTGAGCAATGAAGCCAATGACGAGACAGTATCTCCTTCAGAGGATGTTGGCAGACTTGAGCTATCCACATCGGGAGAATTTGATAAGAAGCTCTCTCCACCTCAGGATCTGCTAGGGTCAAGTCACTCAGAGAGTGAAGCCACAGTAGGCCAGAACTACAATCATTCTGCTTCTACAGTATCACCCCCTTCACCATTAGAAGAGGATAAATTTTGTAAGGAGTTTCCCTCTACAGGAAAAACTGAGGAATTTGCCACTGCTCAAGAATCACATAACATATTTGACGCTAACTCAGCCAAACTCAATTCAAGCTCTATATCACCTCTTGTTTGTTCTCCCTCAATGGAATCTAAGGATACTTGTGATTTTCCATCAATGTTGGCTGCTCCAATAGAATTGTCATCTACATTGGCTAGTTGCACACTAGTAACAACTGATTCTACTAAGAGCCCAGATGACACACCACTTGAAGAAGCTAATTTACTTCAGTCCTCTGGTCACACACCTTACTATCAGTCACCAGAGGAAGAGAAAACTGAAGCCCTCTCAACTCTGTCAGTAGATAAGCCACAGGGTCCAGTCATTGTGGAGGTTAGTGATAAAGAAGATTCTATTGACAGATTTACCCCTGAGCCAAATGAACCAGAACTACAACATTGTTCCCCAGTAGAGAATGCAGTTTCCCCTGCAAAGAGCCCACCACCTGACCATGAGTCCTCAGTGAAAAATGCATCACCCTTTGATATGGAATCCAAGAAACCTATTGAAGATATCTATTCAGTGTTGTCCTCAGCTTCGTTGACCAAGCATGAATCTAACACCAGTCCTTTAGCAGGTTTTAAAGAAGAGAGTAAAGTGTCTATTTCTGAGGGCACCACATCAGACAAGTCTGGAACACCATTGGATGAAGTTGTCACTGAAGATATCTTTTTACATCTAGCCTCAGCATCTACAGCATCCTTGGCCACCAGCTCATTTCCAGAACCAACAACTGGATCTTCCCTTCATGCTGAGGTGGGCTCTCCTCACTCAACTGAGGTAGATGACTCATTGTCTGTCTCTGTGGTTCAGACACCAACCACCTTCCAGGAGGCTGAGGGCTCTCCGACTAAAGAAGACAGTCCAAGGCCAATGTCTATTTCCCCAGAAATCTCACCTAAGACAAAGAACAACACACATGATACTAAATCTCCAGATCATTCTGCCATGTCTGTAGAGTTAGGCCAAGATTCCCCAGACCATTCCTTAGCACTGGACTTCAGCAAGCAATCTCCAGAGCACCAGTCACTGGGCAGCAGCTCATGTACAGCAGAAAATGGACCCATTGAGGTTGACTACAGTCCTTCAGACAGAACAGACATAAGAGCATCAAGAGAGCCAAAACCTGCTGTAGAAAATTGTTTGCTTTTTGAAGAGAATGATTTAGTCCATTCCACTTCTGCAACTCCATCGGATGCATCTCAGTCCACACCTTCCGTTACAACCCCATGTCAAATGACAGAGATGCCACATGCTGTAGCGGAACAGACAGATACGTTGCCAGTCACCCCAAAGGCATCATCTCTCAGCCTCTCTCCCCATTCCAATGAGCCATCTCCAGTTCTAGGAGGCCCTCCAGCCAAAGACAGTACCAGCCCAATCTCACAGTGTGCAAGCATCACTAAATCTGATTCACAACAGAAATATGACAAGTCACCCACACCCCCTCAAGCATCTTCACCATCTGCTTATTTTAATATTTCAAAGAAAAGCACACCTTCCCCTGAAAAGGAGACAAATCATTTTAAATGTGAGGATTTTATACCTGAGAAAAAATCTCCTGTGAGTCCTAAACTTCCTTCCCCCTCACAATTGCATCTCTCTTCTGATCAATACAATTACAATTCTCCCTGTGGCTCAAAGGAACCAGACAACACAAAGAAGAGTCCCTGTGCTGCATCTAAGACAGATGTTGACCTATGTCTTGTCCCCTCTTGTGAGTATCGTCACCCCAAGACTGAATTATCGCCATCTTTCATTAATCCTAACCCTCTAGAATATTTTATCAATGAAGAAAATGCCACTAATGAGGAGAAGCCTCTGGCCAAGTCTGGGGGAGGCTCCCCACCCCCAGCAGGGAAGCTTTCTGCCAAACAATGTGAGGATACCCCACCCACATCCATCAGTGAGTCTGCCCCCTCGCAAACAGACTCAGATGTACCACCAGGGACTGAAGAGTGCCCCTCCATCACAGCAGATGCAAACATTGACTCTGAAGATGACTCTGAGACTCTGCCTACTGACAGAACTCTAACCTACAGGCAGGTTGATCCTCCTCCAGTGGCACTCAGGGACTCTGCTCCGATTTCAGGCAACCATGATGTTTGTATGGTGGACCCAGAAGCACTAAAGGCAGAGGAGAACCTTCACAATGCTAATACAAATGGAGGAGACAAGTCTAGTAAGAAAAAGCTCTCAAAAAAGTCCTCATCACCAGCTAGGAAGAGTGGTCTTTCAAAAATCAAGGACTCAAAGACAGCTTCTCCAAAGAAGGGGGTTGGAGAAGGAAAAGATGCCAAAAATGCGACTAATACCTCTGCATCTAAAGGTGTTAAAAGTGAGTACAGTGTTTGTTATCACTTACACTGCTGCCTATAGTTACCAGACAATTTTAATGGTTGTTGAAATGGTTTAATAAAATATATATCTTTTTCAGGTACAGGAAATGCAAAAGCATTGTCTCTGTCAAACTGCCCTCCTACATATATGGATTTGGTTTACATACCTAATCACTGCAGTGCCAAAAATGTGGATGCTGAGTTTTTCAAGCGTGTCCGGTCCTCTTACTATGTGGTCAGTGGCAATGACCTGACAGCTCAGGAACCTAGCCGGGCTGTCCTTGATGCTTTACTTGAAGGAAAGGCCCAGTGGGGAAACAACATGCAAGTAAGTTTCAGATATTAGTGAAGTTACAAGAAATACAAATTTAGATATTTAAATTATTTTCTTGGCTTTAATCAGTGAGTATATATATATATATATATATATATATATATATATATATATATATATATATATATATATATATGTATATATACATATGTGTGTGTGTGTTTGTGTATTTTTTTCATTAGTGAAAATGGTATTGTTAATACCAGCATGTTTTGATTTAAAACTGTCTTTGAATGTCAAAAGGTAAAAGGTGGATGATAATGTTTTTGTGTGGGGGCGGTTGGCTAAAAGGTTATAAGGGTATTTTGAACAACTGGACAGATTTTACAGCTAAAGTTTGAGGTTGTAGTAGCTGAAATTCATTCTCAAAACATGCCAAGCACTATACTTAGTGCTTAAATCTTTAGTTATGACTTTCAAAGTTAAATATGTTGGTCTTTTATGAAAATTTCCCATTAAATATTGAGCATATTTCATAGAAACTTTCAGAAAGTAATCTTTGGGTGAACATGAACAGCTGACTAACTGTTGGCGTCATCCCAATTCAAGACGGTTGTCTCATTAAATCAACATTAGCCAACACAAAAATGGCTTTAACTCAGTCAGTTTTAAAATTACTGAGATGAACTTTGACATGGTAGTGGCTGAGAGTCATTCACAACACATACTCCAAGTGCTAATAAATTGCTTGCAATCACATTGAGCATGACATATTCAAAATTTAACCAAAATGGTTGTAACTCTGGCACTAAACGTATTCAGCTTTTAATTTAATGAGGAATCTGTCTTGTATGTCAGCGCATGCTTCTAAAAGCTACTTGATTTGTTTATACAATATTTATTAGACAATAGAAAATGTCATTCTTCGTAAAAAAATATATATATATATTTAGGGTTTTGTTTGCTTTTATTATGTTAGACATATTCTAAACCCCTTTTTTTACTTTCTATTCTCAGGTTACTTTAATTCCAACCCATGACACGGATGTAATGAGGGAATGGTACCAGGAGACTCACGACAAGCAGCAGGAGCTGAACATCATGGTCCTGGCAAGCAGCAGCACAGTTGTCATGCAGGACGAGTCCTTTCCAGCTTGTAAGATTGAGCTGTAGCACATTTCTGCAAGACATCTGGAAGGATTGTTCTGTGCCCACAAAACAAACCACGTAGCATAAAAGCCTAGAAACCATAAAGTTAAATAAGACAACTAGAGGGTGCATTGGTCATGTGAAGTTGTGATTCACTGGAGGGACAGGAGCCATAACCACAGAGGGCAAACATCTGGACTGAGCATTATTGTAGATGTTGGCAAAATGGCCAGCATTAATGGCTGATTATTTAAAAGTTGTAGAAATAAAAATATTAATGATAATATTAATATAATATTAGATATAAAAACGTAAAAATGCAAAAAAGTTGTCTGTGTGCTACAGTTGTACCAACCAAAAAGAAAAGGGAAAACGTGTTTCATTTCACAAATAAGCAGATTTTATCTTTGAGTTGACCTCAATGTGACCATAATTGAAGCTAATACTGTAATAAAAGTTTTAAATTAAAATTAGCCTATAAATGTGATGTAATTGCTGTTAATTATTGAATTGGCTAATAGATATTAGCTTCCATGGCAGCTATTATACAGAGTTTAGAACTTTGCTGAATCATATTATAATTTAGTACAAATTATTAAATAATACAATCTGGTATCGCCATCGATTTATCTCATATTAAAGCCATGCAAAATAATATTACCTTATGTATTTGACTATTTTTAGGTTTCCATTACACAAACCTGACCAATTGAGAAAATAGTTTGCCAATATCAGTCGAGATAAGTTTCATCCAAGTATAATTTTGTAATTGGCAACTACAAAACTGGTAAATAATAATAAATAAGTTACGCCAGTATTGTTATACAATACCAATTATATGTCATTTCTGAGTTCTGTGTGTTATTGGCTGATCTAGTTTAGATCACCATTACTGTACTCATATATGGTTATATTTTCCTTATAGCTCATCTAGCTGTTTTACACGAATAATTAAATTACGATTAATTATCAATTCTATTAATTTATAGTAAAAATATTACAAATAATTGGTGCCACAGATCCAGTTGGGCTTGCTGTTTATCAAATAGCTGCTTTGTCAGCTGTGAGCCGCTGCCCTCTTTGGTCGCCATCTTTGCTCCTCCATGATGTCATAGATGCGAGCAGTGGACGGGACAGGAAGTGGATCTATAGTTGTCTTATTTAACTCTATGCTAAAAAGCAACACTAAAGCAGCACATTTACAATGAGAATAGAAGTGCCGTTTATTTAATCTTGACATAAGAGGATTAAATGAGGGAGGAATTAGACCATGACTTTTCAAATAAGCAAATTTCAGTACCTGTTAGATAATGCACTGACTTTCTCTTGAGTCAACAAAGACTCTTCAAACTCAGACTCTTCATCTCATTCAGACAGATGAAACACAACTTCTGTAACCACTTTAGGGATTCAAAATGAATGTACAAGATGAAGGTAACTAAACTGAAAATGGTTGTTCAATAAGATGATTGTGATCAACTGAAAAAGGTTGTTTAATACTGATAAGCATCAATATAAAGTTTCTATTCATAAAAAGTGAGTTGGAGAGCTGCTACTGTATTTAAACTTTTCCTTTGGATGGCTGGTTTTATTTATTACTTTTTTTTATTAGGTTTTAGTTGCAGCTCATGTTTTAGCAATAGTTTAAATGACTGTGCACAAAGAAGTTCATAACACCTTTGCCTTTGTATAAAAAAGTTTTTACAGAATGTAAAATCTGTAAATCCTTTTTACAACACTGCCTTTCATTTAAGTTTATGTACTTGATTTAAGAATTTTAAGGCGTTTTTTTAATTTTATTTAAAAAACTAACGTAACCTTGTCTCTAGCTGTTTTGAATTGAACAACGAGCAACGGTGAGTATTTCCCAATGTAAAGTGAAGCAGGATATTTTCATAAACCTTAAAATGTCTTGTTTTTTTCTAAAGCATTGTACTATAATTATAAATAACATTGTGGCCAGGTTGGGAGATGGGACTGAGTTATGCTAAGCTACTTTTCTTTTTGTTTTTTATTGAAGATTTTGATCAGATTTGCATTCAGAACAGGGCACCAGATACATATTTTAAAAGGTAATGCAGTTCTGTATGATATCTGCAAGCTGTGCCATGATGTATGTATTCTACACAAACTCTTGACTAATATCTGGGGCACTAACGTCTCAGAAAACCTGCAACGGGTCAGTAATTTACAGGCTGATGCTGAAAACTCACCAGAATGACAATACAGACGGATTCTAAAGGGATCGTATCTTTCGGGTAGACACACAGGGGAAACTACGTAAAACCAAAATAAGACACAAACACGGCTCATACCAAACCAACGTTACAGACGCCTCAAATCATCTAGGCAACCTCCTACATTCAGTAAACCACCACACGACGATTACAGGCTTTGGTGTTCTGGTCTATTTAAAGGAATTTCGGAGGTTTTCTGAAATGACGTCAAGTATTCATGATGCCACCACAGACCTGTTTTCCTGCAGAAGTATCTCAAACAGTCACAACAAACCAAGGAACTGACATTTCTCCTTTCTCTGCTTTCTGTCTGACAATTTCTCTGTCTTTTTCCCCCCCACTCACCCTTTTCTCAAGAGAACTTTAACATTCGTCTGCAGCGGTGTGGTATATTTGTCTTGTGGTCTTGCATCTTCTCTTTCCTTATCCCAAACTCATATGTAACCTATAGCGATTAGTTTCGAGTGAAAATATTCCCTGTAGTGCTTTCTGATGTTTGTGTCCAATAAGTCCTCTACTACATGTATACCCACATGGCAGATCTAATGTAAAAGGAACCACTACTAAAGGACAGCCACAATAAAATTTGTTGTGAACAAATTATGACTGACCTTCTTGAGTTTTTTGTTCATTTATAGAGAAATCTTCAAGCTCAAGAATCTTCATTATCCCCGAGGGACAATTTGTTTCAGTCAGTAGGCACATGAAACATCCATACTAGACAAGACATTAAAATAACAATACATGAAATCATCATTGTTTGTTGAGAAGCCTGATCGCTACAGGGATTAATGAGTTTTTCAGTTTGTTTGTTCAACATCTGGGCAGCGGATACCTGCATCCAGATGGAAGCAACCTGAACGCACCATGGAATGGGTGATCAGGATCTGCCAGAATCAGCCTGGCCTTGTTCACTGACCTCGCCTTGTGCAGCCAAGTGTTAGGTGCCATGAGGGTCAGCTTCTCTAAGGCCAATATTTTCAACCAAAAAAGGTGAAATACCCACTCTTGACAGGAGACAAACCCTTAATTTAAGATGGATTGACATATTGGGACTTTGTCTACAGTAATGTTTGTTGTAGTAAAGAAGTGCCTGAGCTGACTGGTGAAGCTCTTAATTTACTGCTTCATCTACATTCCAGCCCTCCCCTGTAACAATGACATATAGACTATCCTTCCATCCACAAAGGAAAAGCGAGTAAAGATGGCGGATGGGTGGATTAAAATTAGATTTATGAGCCATTGTTTTATATTTTATTTAAAACTAAATGATATGTTAAAGAATAGCAGCTGTCCACAAGACAACACGATGCCATTTGCCATTGAATTAAATAGGAGGCATTTTATAAACATTTATTTCTTTTTTTGTGTGTCTGTTGGTATGAAAGGTAAATTTCCAGTGATTGCTTAGCTGTAAGTAGGGAACAAAACAAACCTTATCAAACTATTTAGAGGTTTCATCACTCTATTTCTGGTGACGCACTGAGTTTTAATGGTACTCTTGAGTTGCAATGGTTAATTTTTTCAGGCACAAATTTCACAGCAGCTATGGTTTTTAAGCTTTTGAACTGGGAATCTGTTAACACCTCTCGCAAGAAGACAGCTGGCATATCCAGTCCCCACATGACCATGATGACAAGGATAAATGTTTATGAATTTCCAGAATACATGAACCTTTTGCCTTATATAGTGACCGGTCAGACACTTCAGGGATTCTGTTATGAAAAACAAATCAGATCTGGATGATAAGACAGTTCATATTTTATAGACCTGCTATTAGATGTATAGCTTATATATTTTCCTTGATGTGTTATATTATAGAAAAGAAATGCAAATGACAGAACATCCCTGACATTTCTTCAACCCCAACATGCAATGAATTACATACACAAATAAATATAGTAGACAGAAAAAGGCTGCTTATTAATATATTCAATAAGTTTTGCTTTGTCTTTCAAGGGCAGATGCACAACTAACAAAAAGGCAGCAGCTGTTTTTATTCTGTTCATAAATGTGACGTTTATTTATGATGACAGGAGACCAAGGGCACTATCCAGAACCAGAGAGGTTCATGTAAGGATAAATCCAAAGCTAGAAAAGGACCTGGCTGTTTGTCAGGTGACTTTAGTGTCTAAATATACACAAGGTTGAATGAATGAATGAATGAAACATCGTTTCCTTAAATAGTATTATATCATCGGTGCAAAGAAGTGATCTCTTTTAAATCTGCAAACCTTTACATGCAGCGAGGCAGACTTGTTTGTTCATCTTGCAGGATGCCATAAATTATCCAAGGCAGTGCATCTGATTGGCTGAGCAAGCAATCTCAGCTAGATGGGTAAGATCATGTTGCCAGGGCAACAGTAAGGCAACCTCCCTGTCCCATATATTCACTCGCTTATCCTGAGAGTTCCCTCGCACCGCACCAAGATCTGTATATTTCAAACGTATTTATTTTTCCACTGTGAATTTCTCAAAG